AGTTTTTTTTTAAACTAAAGAGTTCGAATTTTCCAACCCTGTAATTGATCGCTGTCAAAGTACTCTAAGAGATAGCAGAGCTTGTTTCCAAGTTTGACCGCTAAAAGAATCTTAGTTTTCAAGATATGTCGTTTTTTATGATTCATCAAAAATTTGAAGCAAAAATTTGAAGAACGTGTGTTTTTCGCTAGTATTATTTAAAGAGATTGGCGCGTGGCCCGAAATTGCTGGTATAAGTTGTTTTCTATTCTACTCTTTCGCATGATAATTTTAAATAGAATTAACTGATTCAAGCGGCAAATTATATCTTGTAAGGAATGTAAGCGTAGCGGAGCAAGCTGTCTTCACTTGCCAATGCCGCGTTTTTAGAGTTTTGTTGTCTTATTGTTTTGTAGTCTGGTAAAAGGTCGGTCTGGTATAAAGACGTAATAATATCACAAAGCAACAGATTAAGTTAGCGCGAAAGTACAGCGTGCGCTGCACTTGGAGATATAAAAAAAACAGAATATGTAATTTCAAAAATACAATGGTTTTGTGCTTCAGCTCGGTTACGTGTAACATCTGAAAAGACCTTGGAAGAACGGTTCTTGTTTCATATCGATCCTTCCGGCAAATGAAATCAAAAAATTTTGAAGCGCATGATAATGCGAAAAGTCATGATTTTTGAAGTTGCATGCCTGCATGTTTCCAATAATTGCCAGATAAAGTAGTCAAATCATTAACAGCCTTTTAAAACCAACGGTTGCATCATGAGAATTAGTTAAATATAAGGTAGAAGCAGTGATGTGCACAGGAACTTTTGACTGGACAGCTAATTTTTTGAACAGTGGTCGACAATTTTTTTTACTTTTAGTTATTTTTGAGCTCTGCCATAACTTCAGAGCAATCTTGCGCAACAATCCCCCGTCCTCGGCTTGTTATTGGGTTTGAAACTAGAAAAAAAAAGAGTTAAGTGGAGATCCGTTTATAGTATGAAGACGCTTCTACCACTTCGCTCATTGTTTTTTACCATATAGTTATTGATCCTTGAGGTAAAAACTATTGATCCTTGAACTGTTCAATTGGTCAGAAATTTCTATGCGTTCGTTCTTTATATCTATCTGCTTAACCATAAAATCGATGTTTTGACAAGAGGGTAGGCGATGGATGAAAAAATGCCACTCCCAGTACAGAAAATTGTAAAAAACCAAATATTAGAAACTGGCGCAAAAAGTGTTGTTAAAGTAGGGTCTTTATAGCGATTTGGGAGAACTCGGAAAATCAATTAGGTAAACCTTACAAAAGACGACAAATTTTCGATTTTTTTTTGAAAACTTGCCTCCTCAAGAAAGTCTTAGATCTGCTCCTGCACAGAACTTTAAAGTCTATGGCTCTTTTCCAGTTCCCCCCTTTCAAAATACCGAGTTTTATGTTTGTTTTACGTGTTATTACGGCTAAATGCGTGATGTTACGCTGTAAAGTATGAAGAAAAAATCTGTTCAGAATTGTCGATTTGTTCACCACGCCAAATTTCATTGCATTATGACAATGTTAATTAGACTTTTCAGTATTGAATTTGAAAGGGGGAACTGGAAAAGAGCCGCTTAGTTTTCACTGAAGTTAGCAATTTTTCCTGGAGGGTAAATTCATTCGAATTACTGAAGAGAAAAAAGCTGCTCATACCATTTCTATCATTCTCGGCGCTCGTTTAATAGCTAAGTTATCTTTTCGAAATTCTTCTCTATCATGCTGCGTGACATTGAAAACGCAACAGCAAAAAAGCGACTAACAAAAAATCTTTTAAGTTGATTTTTTGAGCCTTAGCAAAATCCATTTGATAAATAGCAACAAATTTTGATGTCTAGCCAAAAAAAAAATATTTCTGTGGGCAAAGTAGCGTGAAGAAGGCATGAGATCTACCTGGTCCATTTCATGGAAATTTGTTTAATTCCTTGTTTAATTCACCCAGAATTCGACCCCTTACTGACCCAAAGGGTCCCCCTTTGTACTATTTAGAAATATTCATATTTTTGTGACGGGCCCAAAAAATTTTCTAAAGGCGCCTTCGGCGCCAATATATTCTAATTTTGAGGGATCAAAATTTTTCAAAAATTGCCTAAAAACGCCTTTTTTGGCCTATTTTTTTAACATTTTGCCTGCGGCGCAGAAAATTGGACCAGAACAGGGTCTTTTTAATGAGTTATGAGAGCTCGGAACATCACTTTGATCGACTTCAAAAAAAGGTCGACAAAATTTTCGAACATTTTTTGAAAATCCGCCCCCCCTCGAGAAAATCCTAGATCCGCCCCTGAATTCACCTTTCTGGAAAAACCTCTATTTACTAAGGCCAATAAAAAAAATTAAAATGAATGCATAAACATACCTTTTTTTTTTGGATAAAAACCAGCTTTACTGGTTATTTTTGGGCATAATTTTCTTTCAAGCTGTCAAGGAAACTCAATTTTATACATAATCAAGTGTAAGTTAGTTGCTAAATTGTAATCAAACTTGCTTCAAAAGCCCTCGTTTGTAAGATTTCAAATTTCTCAGTTTCTTCAACTATTTTAATCTTGAGGAAAGATTTAGAGAAAATCTTGATGATGCGGTTTCAATGTCGCCGAGTGTTTTTCAACTTCACATGGCAGAGAAAATTACTATCCACTCTGAGGACAGTAAGTAACTAAAATCAAATACTAATTTCATAGACTTGGCTCTTTTCCAGTTCCCCCCTTTAGTTTTTTCTGAAATTCATTATATGAAAGTCTATTTAAAATGATTTTTCATGTTAGAAACTGCAATAAAACGTGTCAGCGTGAATAGGTGAACAAATTTCTACAACATTTCTAACATGCAAATTGCCGTGTGAACAATTTTTGAACATCTTTGTTTTGTAATTTAACAAGGGGGGTGGGAAACTGGAAAAGAGCCATTATTATTTTCAGGAGAAAATTTGTTCGCGCTCAATTTTGATTTTTCGTGTTTTGACATCTGATTTCTTGGTAAGTTCTTTTCAAGCTCATTTGCTAAAAGAACGGGAAGACAAATGACGCTCTCCAATTACGGAAGTGTAATTGGCACAAAAAACGTTATTGATTTTACTTTCTGGAGTGGATTTCAACTTAAGATTTTAATTCAACTTAAGGTTTTTAATTTGAAATTTCTCAGCGGAAAAGAAAAATTACCTACTGACTCAAATTTTTCTCAAAAGGTGATTTTCTTGAAAAGGTGTCAATCGTGAAAGATTGTTGATGAAGTTGAAATCGCATTAACGTGATGTATTTTTGGATCTACTTAACAATCCCCCCTCTATGGTACTTACTTAAGAATCTCCACCCCTATAAATAAATACAGTAAATTAGCACTGAGTTTTCTATTGAGAATTCTAACTTTGCTGCATTCTGATTGGTCGAAAAATCGACCATTTCGATCTACGTAAAAATCTACCCCTTTCTTGAGGAAATTGTTAAGTAGATCCGTAATTTTTTCTTCAAAATCACAAAAATCTTTTTTTTACGATTTCTTTGAAATCATTGACACTTCCTCCAACTTTTATTGACTGAGTTCGTTCTCTCTAGGTTCACATATTTATTGTTTTAAAAATTTGGAATAAATGTAGTTTAAAATGGTCCTTAAAATAGGTTCACAATTGTATCTTATTCGATTAGAAGACTTCACAAGTTCAATTATTCAATTATTTACATTACTAGTAACTACAAACATAATCACGAATATCGACAAAGCGTTGAACAAAGAACGTGAATACAGTGCTGAGTTGGCCTCTTTTGGTTCCGCTTCTTTGTTAATCGGGGACTCAGAGTCTTTACTGGGGTCACTGGTGTCATCGGACTCAGGGGCAGAATCCATGTCAGATGTGTTTAAGTTAAGCGGGAGACTAAGTCCACTTTGTGAGGCACACGTTTTCAATATTTTAAACGACTCTTTAATATCTGTCGTCATTGATTTCGTAGAGAAACACAACGCAAACGTAGCTTGCTGGCTGGGACTCAACAGTGATGTTACGCATGAAATCATGCTTATGATTGTCTTTCCGAAACAATCTGAACAAGATACTTTCCAGTTTCACAGTCCAATGTTTTCATAATATGTGTTCAGTTTAGGAGAGGAGTTAGGTGGGTCCATTGTGACAGGTGTAAAATTGTCATCTGAGGCTAAACGAACTTTAAATTTTATGCAGCGTTTTTAAAGGAAAACCCGTGGAGATGAGAGGGAGTTTTTATTTGATTCTCTTATCAAAAGCGGTGTTACCATATCGATGTACATGGTGCAATTGAATTGGGTTAAAATTGGGTTGAAAGTCACCAGTTGGGAAAAACAAAAAAAAAGATCCCTTATTCAACTTTGCCAATATAACTTTCGGATTCGTGTAAGATATGGATTGTTAAAGACGGTAGGGCTCTTTTTCCTCCCCCCCCCCTCCCGCCTCACACGAGCTTTAATATATTAATATATTAGTGTAACGAGTGCTTTTACGAGGTTGAGTATGAAGACCACATATGTTTGTCGCGGCCTTATTAGTCTGTATGTAAATTTTCATAACAATCGGACAATGTCGTCAACAAATTTACATATAAAAAAAATTGCAGGTGGGGGGAAAGGAAAAAGAGCCGACGGTAGATGAAACTGGAAGACATTCCTTTAATTTTGGGACTCTCCGAAGTCGATAGCTCGTACGAAGACTTAACATTGGTAGTAGTGTTGTTCTGACGAGTCCGGGAAAAAAGAATACCCGAAATAAAAAGTGTTTTCAGAGTCAGCTGTTTAAGAATCATTTCGAACTTATTTAGTGTCTTTTTCTTTGTTCTGTTTTTGGTTTTCGATAGTTTTTATTAGTTGTTTTTTTTCTTGATTTTGAAATGACCAAGTATTTATTAACACGTGTCTTAGTCGTTCAAAATTAGTACACATACTAGTTGTGTATTATCTATTGCATGGAGCTACTAATGCATAGTTTCGAATTGCATAATAGTGCACCGCTTATTATATCTTTTTATTTCAGTTTTGTGATGTTAGCTCGATTTCTGAGGCGCATCGGACCGAAAATATGCATAGCTCCAAGCGTCCCTGAAACTTCTTTTTCTCGAGCCATGTGCACAATTCATGTCGAAACATTGTCCAAAAATAACCAGATACCATCTGAAACTTCATTTGCCGCCCTTTTACGCAATAGTACTTTCGTGCAAATGGGGGACCCAGTGGGAAAAGTGGTGAAGGGGGAAGTTTTCAGAGTGGTGGGAAGTGATTTGTACATTGATTTTGGCCACAAATTCCACTCTGTGTGTCCGATGCCCTTTTGGTACAGGAAGCCTGTCTACCCCGGAGACGAAGTGACAATCAAAATTAACGGTATATAAAAGTTTTTTTTTGCAAGATCTATTTTATACGTAATAACTTAATTTTCATCCAAAATAGGTCAAGTTGCTCAGATGCATTTTTTTAGTCCCAAATTTTCATCTTTCCTGTGTTCATGCTTTCATTTAAGTTTTCTCTTAATCAAATTAAATGGGTAGATATTTAATGACCACAAAATTTTTCAGTGCAGAAAATTTATGTTTGATGCATGACTTGCATTTTTGATAATGGGGTTCTGGCACCGAAAAGGATACGGATGAGCAAAAGGTGTTTTCATTGATAGCCTTATTGTCCGGGTCGATTCCTGCAAAATCGATTTCTAAAATATTATTTTCTACCGCCAACGTCAACTGTAATGGATATTCAAAAATGACATTGCCTGCTTGCAAGCATTATACTTGAAACAATCTTGCTTTCATCAAAACCGTTATAAATTTCTGTTGTGATCTTTATTGCGCTCGGAAGATTCTTAGCGATCTTGTTTCACGTGATTTTTCAGACCTGGAGCTGGCCAAGATGTTTTACGGAGAGTACAAAGCGGCCTCTCTGTTGGAAGCAGACTGTACTTTGATGTCAATACAGGACGTGGAAGCGAAAGAAGACTCAGGAACAAGATTAGGGAGGCTCAGAACAAGAAGGCAAAGCGAAGACGAAGAAGGCGATATTGGGCTGGAGGAAGAGCTTTGAGAGTTCTAGGTATCTGATCAATGAAAATGAAAAGAAACTCGAGTTCACGATGACGCGTATATGTGATGGAGCAACTTGGCCTACCATGGCATGAACACTTGAACTTATTGACTCTATTTTGAAAAGTCGTTTGAAGTTTGTATCAAAAAATTTGATCTCGTCAAATGAATTTAAAAAAAAAAGATTATATCATAGCTGCCAAATTTAAGACTCCAAGTATGAAAATCATGGAGTTTTCGAAGGCATTTCCAAATACTTTTAAAAACTTCTAAACTGGCATTTTGGTGTTTAAAACCACGAATTTAGTCTCTGGAAGTTCAGGGCTGCAGTAGCTGGCAATCAAAATACGACGCATGTAAAATAGTTCAAACTTAATTGTGGATATGCAAGTCTGACATGAGATTTAAATCAACAATCTAATGAATGCTGTTGCTCCATCACCATCGATGCGCCTCAGTCTTTTAGAAGATCCATTAGAAGAAAGTGATTTTTTTTGTAAGTGGCAAAACTTTAGAAATATTGGTGATCTTGCGCATTTTATTGGTCTGCAAAAATTGCTTTCTAGCCTAATTATATTTTGACCGATTTAATTTTTGAAATGCTTAAAAAATTGGTTTCCGCAGTCAAAAAGCATTTTGTAATGCAACTAACATTTCAAATTTTGTCAATAATTTGGATATTGTCAATAATTTGGCATTAACTCAAAATCTATACATTTTACTTGTGTGTGTACTAAAGAAATGCTATATTCAAGTGAGAAAAGGCTGAAGCAAAAATATTTAAGATGTCTAGTTGAAAGATAGAAAGTTTGAAGTTTCAATTTTGAAAATGCAATTTAAAGATCACGTCGTTGTTACTTCATTTATCGGATGAAAACTGATAAACATATTTTGCGCGAAACAATTGACAGTCGCTTGTTCACAAGTTTGAACCATTATACTAGTACAATGAGAGTGGTGGCAACTCCTTGAAGACTGATTACTTTTAACAACTATGAAACAGTTTTTGAAAAAAACTGACGTGCAATTTACGCGTCACTAGTATCAAACGTATAGCATTTAATTATCAAAAACTGGCATGTTTTAAACCCTCACAGCTGCGAAAAAATTATCGGCGATGTTTTGGTAGAATCTCTCAAATCATAATTCACACACCGCAACTTAAGTTCTTTGGTGTAACTGTGTGTGTTACCTGACGACTAAACATGTCACCAGTAGCGATCATCTGATAGTCCAAGTATCAGATAGCCCAGGTAACTTGGCAAACACAATAACCCGATCTTCATCTTGGGGACCAGAATCGTATAAGAGGTAATTCAAAGCCAGTCAGCGAAGTTGGCTCTGCCATCTTCGGTCTTTTTTCGCGACGAGGTCTATTTACAGCTTGTTGCTTAGCAGAGTAACAGTCTGCCGCGGTGTTATGTCCGAAACTGTTGCTCGGTTTTCCTTAACGACTCAATGGAGTCCTATTTAGTACGCACACATCCATTGTAATTGCTTTGTGTGCACCGCCAGGAAACAGAATCGTCTAACAGTGTTCGGTGTTTAATATAATGCTCCCTTCAAAACCTACGATGTCAGAATTTCGATTGAGTGAAGCCAAGTGTTAGCAATTAAAACAAATTGAGCAGCATCTATGTTTTTGACTGGATTATAAAAAGAATCCATTTTGTAATTGCGCTAACTTGTGTGTTTCGCGGAGTATTGCTTTTAATGAGTGGGCGCTGCTGTTATCTAGGTAGTTCTATTTTTTCTGCTAAACTACCAATTAATATTCCGATTAAGCAGAACCAAAAATTTGTTAGTCAAGGCGATTTTTTTTATCAGTTGGAACAATTATCACTTTCAAAAATGGTACTGTATTTCGGACGGTTTCTTGGAATATTTTTGAGATTCTGTATGTGAGTGTTTTTTTTTTAATTCTGATATGATTTTCCGGACTATTTTGTACACGACTGTTTTGTATGTGACTGTTTTATGCAGACACGTTAAAAAACCTACTTAATGTTGTACGTTTTTGTCGCAATTTTAATAAATAAAAAAACCGCTCGTATGTGGCCAAAGCTCTAAATGTTCCAACTAGTTTTTGATGTCTACATTTAAGTTTTTTTTGAAAAACTGTTAAAGATTGCAGAAAAAACTGACAATTTTTGTACAGCAAAATGAAATTTTTTTTTATAGTTATCTCTCACCGAAAAAATTGTGCAGAAAGATATTTTAAGTTTGTACAGTAGTGGGTGGTAATTTGATTGTGACGTTTCAAGTTTCAATCTCGAAAGATTAAATTTGATAGTTTTATTTTATTGCTCCGGAAAAAATCTTTTCAACATGTAGGTTTTTATTATAAATTAATTAACAACCAGGTGCTAGTGATATAAACTTTCAAACACTACCATATAATCTAAATATTGAAGTTGAAAACTAGGCAATTGAAAAGTTTAAAGGCCATTGGTATTTCATTCTTAAAAAGAAAAGCACTGATGAACGTATTCGATGGTACTATTGAAAAAAAAAATAAAAAATTCACAGGTTGAACGATTAGAATAGTTTAAAAAATCAACCTGTATAAAGGCAAAGTTTTGAGTTTCTGTCTACCCTTTAGCATCTATGAAGTAGTTTTTCATTTGAAAAATTGATAAAATTTTCATTTTAAATAGTATAAATTCTGGAAATTTTTTTCTTTTAAAGTGAACTATTTGTTCTGTGTCTGATAGCGTACTAGTTAGACCAAACAAGACCTCCATTCAAAATGAAACGATTTTTGAGACAGACTAAATTGCGGCTTGCCCGTCAATAGCGCTTAAAATGTGGCACGTAATTTATCCTAAAGAGGCACAAAATACTTTGTCTATTTCTTCAATCGATTTGTGGTAAAACAAGATATGAATGATAAGAGAACAAGTATTTTCCAAAAAAAATAACAAAAAGTTTAACATGAGCGTTTTCATAGTTAGGAGAAGAACTAATGTAAAACTAATTTTAAGAATTAAATAAAAAAAGGCAGATTTCATATTTTGAAAAAATCATACTTGGAGCATTATTAGCGAAAACGGGGGCGTTCAGCAGTGCCAAAGTACAACAGTGCAGAAAAAGGCGGGAAATTTTCAGAATAATTTAAACGCATTTTCTATCGCTAATTAACAAAAAAATACACTCCAATTTTGGTGCCAAAATGTCTGCAACTGCAAATTGAACAATTATTTTGGCGCCAAAACGTCTAAGTGGCAAATTTTTTGCTCAAATTCTCAAAGTGTCACTTAAGTTTGTAAACGATCGCCGTTTAAGTTTTGATTGCCGCACGTAATACGTTGAAATTTTCGGCACTGTTGAACAAAGTTTTCATTTTCGGCATTATTGTACTGCCCCGCGAAAACAACTGCGAGCAGTAAGCTGGAAGTATTGATTTTATCAAGTTGAATATTGCGGACTGGTTTAATTGTTATAAAAAAGAATGATTTCTGAAAGTTTGTCCCAAACAGGTTATGAAATAATGTATTTAAAGTCCAGTAACGTGTCCTTTAGCCAAAAAACATGCCTTAATTCAATTTGGAAATTTCAAAGCTGATAAATTGCCGCTGATGCGTCATTGAACAAAACATAATTGGCAATTTTCAAATCTCCAAAACCTAATATAATTAAACTCAGGTGATGTATTGCCTTTTGTGCCCAACGTTTTTCTGATGGTATAAAAATATTGCGTAAAGCATGTTCGAAAGAACTGAAAATCGAATTTCATCCGAAAAAAATGACAACACTATTTCGTCAAGTTGTTTGAATTTTTATTGCTGATAACATGATTACACTTGCTGATTGACTTTTTAAGGGTTAATCTTTTTGCTGGTCGTTCTGACTGCAACTACGTCAGACTGTAGCTACGCGAGGCTTCACTCGAAAAAGTAGGAACAAAGCTGGTTCTCAAGTCAACGTGGGTTAGCAAGTTTTCCACGGCAGATTTCTAAGTGCATGCCGCTTTTGTGTTTTCACTTGGGCGTAAACATTCATCAAAAATTTCTTCTTTCGCTTCGATAACGAATAACAACAAGACTGCTCGTATCAGGGCGAAGCCCTGAATGTTCCGACTGCCTTTTAATGTTTAATAAAATGTAATAAAAATGAGAAAAAAAAATTTCTAAAATTTGAAATTTTTTTTAATGAAAATCATCCCCCCACACGCCATATAAAGTACAAAAGGATAGATGTCGCTCCTTGTAACAAATCAATTATGGTAAATAAGCTTCTTCCAACTAATTTGGAACGATTTCTAAGACGGATTAAATCTCCGCTTTTTTTTTTTTTTTTTTATTTGCCCCCGGATTAAATCTCCGCTTACGCGTTAATAGCGCGAATTATATCGCGCGTTAATTGTCCCAAATTGGTCAAAATGGCAATCTTTAAACCCTCATAACTTCACGAAAAATGATCACAGTTGAAATGTCTTTTCAAATATAAGCTCAGGACAACAATAGCTTCCGAATGATATAAAAAAATTCCGTCAAAAATGGCTAGTTAAAAAGTCGAAATTTGTCTGAAGAGAAAAAAAACCCACCCGAGCACAAATATTCCGTTACTTTCGTATCGAAAGTCGGAACAACAAGACTGCTCTCATCAGGGCGAAGCCCTGAATGTTCCGACTGCCTTTTAAGGTTTATGGAGCAGTAATAACATTAAAAAATTCAATGAAATAAAACAAAACGAAAAAATTCTAAAATTTGAATTTTTTTTAAATAAAAATCATCCCCCACACGCCATATAAAGTACAAAAGGATAGATTTTGCTCCTCATAACAAACCAATTATGGCAAATAGGCTTCTTTTAACCAATTTGGAACGATTTCTAAGATGGATTAAATCTCCGCTTACGAGTTAATAACGCGAATTATATCGCGCGTTAATTGTCCCAAATTGACCAAAATGGCAATCTTTAAACCCCCGTAACTTTACGAAAAATGATCACAGGTGAAATATCTTTTCAAATTTGAGCTCAAGACAACAATACCTTTCGAATGATATAAAAAAAATTCCGTCAAAAATGGCTAAATAAAAAGTCGAAATTTGTCTGAAGAAAAATAAAACCCACCCCGAGCACAAATATTCCGTTACTTTCATATCGAAAGTCGGAACAAAAAAAAAGTAAGTTTCTTTGGGTTTTCTTCATAGCTCCAAAATGTAAGCCTATA